TTGTGTGGTTTGTGTTTTTTAGGTTTAAAGAAAGATTTTTCACATAGTGCACCTGTTGTGCCTGGTCTGCTGAGACTGTTAAAAGACTGTCTGCTGACTCACAGATGGGAAGATGCACTACGGGTTGTACAAAGTGTAACCAAGGAGCACTCTGGTACTGCATCAGCTATATGGAAGGTGAGTTGGTTGCAAGGACAGAAATGATTTAAACTGAATTTAAGGTACCCATTTTACCCATTTGAAAAATTTTAGACCATCCACCAGTATCATTTCGGAGATCAGAGAACTTATTGTTCATCTCTTAATACTAATATAAGTAATATAATTACTTCTCATGAATAGTGAACTTACTGGTTGGCTTTGATATTTTCTGTGCTGTTTGTAATAATTGATCATTAATGTAAATTCAAACTAGTAAACAGACTAAATGAACATCTAACAAAATGTACAAAGTATAATCATGTAGACACATGATGGAAGAATGGTTTGAAAACGTTTTAGTATAAAGCATGACATTTCAATTCCATTTTAGGGTGGCAGTGAAATCCTGTATGCTGATGGAGAAAGTAATTCTCATTTACTAGAACTACTTGTTAAGTAAGTTTCTGTTTTGTTTTCAGACAAGATATCTGTTTACTCTGTTACTACATTATGGCAGATATCTGAAATATTACAAACAAAATAACCTGATTTATACTAAATTTCAGTTTGCAATGAGTAGGAGTAAAAAAAGGTCTTCTTTGTGAACATTATTGGTTCTGTTTTAGTTAAAAGTTAAAAAAAGTGAATTTTATGGAAAAGAATAAGATTTTCATTATTTTTATTATTATTATTTTGTTTTAGTCAGTTGAAGAATCTGACCTCTGAATACAACTACAAGGGTGTGATTCTAGAGTATGTGTTCTATCTACTGCACCAGGGAAGGACAGCTGAGGCATTGGAGCAGATGAAGGTGTGGTTTTGAAGTTTTTGAGCAATCATCATAATTATGCTTTCGTTAAACAATCTTCCTTAGATAATGGACATGTCATAGTAGTGCATGATACTAAAACATTTGATTTTTGCAGTCATAATTCTGACATCAGCAAATATTATAAAAGTAAAATGTAATAAGTTTTAACAGATCACAAATAGGGAAATATGTAGTCATGTCTTATTTATCGTTTTTTAGTTTTATGTCATTTTAATCTTTAGTTTAAAAGTATTACCAGAGGCCTCAAGAAGAGCCCAACTGATCAAAGCAGGTACCTCGACCTGCAGTACACTTTGTATCAGGGCATGGTGTACTACACATTGTGGTTGCAGGCAAAGCAATATTTGGAGAAGCTGAAGGAGAAGGAGGATGGTGAGTAAGGTATTGTTTTAGTGTTTGTGTACCTGTCCTGAGCAAATTAAATCAGTACCGATTCTTTGATGATTGTGACGTGAGAGAAAGCAGAGTTGATTTCCCTTGTTTTGAAAAATGGGATGATTTTCATTATACAGATTTTTTTCTAACAATTTGTAAAAAGGAGACATTTTACATTTGGTTTTCTTTGAAAGGCAAACTCTTTTTACTATATATTTCCTTGATCTACTTATTTGAAAGGTGACCCATTGCTTCATGCATCAGCATTGACATGGGATGAAGAATATTTGCAGAGTCATGCAACCAGAGCCATTGAGGCTTTCAGAAATGTAGAAACACAATATGGGGTGTGGGATATCTTTGTGACTAAATACGTTGAGGTAAAGTGACATTTTTCATCTTAAAGTTGGTATTACACCTGGCAGTAGGTGAATTAAGTACCTTTCCATACATACTTATAATGCTTTGAAATTGTCTATATTAGTTATAGGACTGAGTATGTTCTTTGTACATTGCAGTTACATATATATTATTTTCATTACTTACAATATATATTTTAAATGAAAGTCTCATGGACCTGAGAAACCTCTTCGTTTGCACCATAATGGATAGCAGTCTTAATCATAATAATAGATTTTTAATTTTTCTCTTATGAATATACATAATGCAGCACGAGTCTATCTTTTTGCAGTTGTTAGAGTATACAGAGAAGACTGAAGATGCATATCAAGTTTTGAAAGTTTATAGAGATCACCATGATGAAAACCCCAATGCACATAAAATGCTATACAAATTCATGAAAAGGCAAAATGCAAATAGAGGAGATAAACTAAGGGTTCTTCAGGTATCTGTTACTTTGCCAGGAATTAGATAACAAAATACAAAGTTTATTGGTTTTGAGGTAAAAGCTAGTAAATACTGTTTCATTTAAACCAACATAGATCTTTTGACAAAACATAAGCTACACCACTTTGTGCAGTCACAAGCCTTTTTACAGATCATTGCAGTTTGTGTCAGAAAAGGTATGCTAAGAGATGCATCCTTTTCAGGGTCAAAATGTGCATTAATTTTTAGGTGTTTCACAAGGAGTTGACTGATTATAATGATAAAATAAATCATATTTGATATAAATATGATGTGATATATAGATATTGATATGTTTTAAATTATTTAGGATTTTGTTAAGCTGGTGCCTTCAGATGAATTGGTGCTTGAACTGTGTGATTTGCTGGAAGAAAATGCAACTGATGCTGAAGGTATATTTTCAGGAAGTGTAATTTATGCTTTGATGAAAGTTATTTTATATCTGATATCCCACAGAGGTAGAAGAAGCAAGAGATATACTAGTAATAATGTTAAGTGTAAAGAGCAATGCAACATGTATGTTGATGGACTTTTCTATACTAGTATATGACAAAAGACAAATTCCGTATACATACCTTTAATGCAATTTAAAACATCCCTCTCATCAAATTTTACTGTTTATAAATTAATTGTTAGGCATGGTGTGTTTCATATTTTTTGATTTGTCTAGATAAATTATTGACAGGTGATCTCATACGAAAGGTGCTGCAACTGCTTTTTAACATGCTTGACTATGGTTGTTGGCAGAACTTTGAGCCACCTTGGAAAAAGTTAGTGACACTATTGGAAAAACTGGGGTAAGACAATAGATGAAAAGTCTTACTTAAATCTAACTTAAAGTTGTTGCCTAAGCTCCATGTATTCTTTGCCTGAAAGCAAAATATAAACATGTAGTACTTCTGAATTTTAAGTGAATGAAGTGTTGGTTCATGAGTGCTGGAAGATTTTTTGAAGGTTGTCATTTAGATGAAGGACCAAGCAAATATATTTTCATTTTTATTTTGGCAAACTGTCACTACAACTTCAGTAGACTGTGAGAACATTACACTTTGTAGAATCAATAGTCTTGGATGTTTTTTTACTTCCCAGAAAAGATGACATTCCCAGTGTAGAGAAAGTTTGGAGTCCTAGGCATGACTGGTGGCCTGCATATCATTTCACATCTTCCATGATACAAACAGCAGACCAAAACTTGCTAGTGTGCAAAATGAAAGTTGCCCATCTCCTCCTTGGGGCAGGTAATTACACTATGAAAATTGGTCAAATGCCTGTTTCCTATGCATTATATATTTGTTGAATGTATAAACTTTTCCATAATTTAAGATATTTTTGCTCAAAGGGTTTTATGTCTTGAGTTTTCTTTCCTCCGAAAACTTGCTGTATTAAATAATTCTCTTTTTTTGGTTATCAAGCAGACTCACTTTAGTACTAGTTAAAAGAGTCGTCCACTGTATGCTACTTAAAAGAGCGTAATTATATCGAGGCGCAGCAGAGAGATTATTTGCTCTTGTATGTCACATACAGTGGATGGTGAGTAGTTGTAACCGACTTATACCACGGCTGGCATTTCGCACAATAGGGTGAATGCACTAAATCGTATGAAAATACAGGCAAGCCTGTATGCGAAATACAAGTGCTATTATCCTATTGTTCAAAGCACCAGCTGTGGTATAATACTTGATATGCACTTTTCTGTATATGTAAAACAGTACAAATCTGATTTTAGGAAACACTTTTGGTGAAGAAGCAAAGAAGAGTTTGAATGAAGAGAATTTAAGACACATGGAGGAATTTGTATGTCACAGACAGAATCTTGGTATAGTTTTCCACAAAAGGTGACAAATGTTGACTGCAGGAATCGAAATCTACATCAACATTGAAATTCACATATATCGCGAGAAATTTGCACAAGAAATGTGTCACAGATCATGAACTAAAACACATCATTTCTATGGAAGATGAACAAGTGATCCCAGAGAAAGAGGTGCTACTGCTGAGAGTAAAGCAGTTGTCCTCTAAGTTGCAAACTACTTAGAGGCCTTGTGTACAGTGCCAAATGAAAGTTGGACTTGGGCACTGCAATAAACACGACCCTGGGATTTTCAATTTCATTTAATAATACTAAATCCATTTGGGCTGTAAGATGTTGTGAGACACTTGACTTTAAAACATATGATATTTGAAGAAGAATGTATATTTTTAATTTTGTGAGAAAGTGAGATTAAGAGAATCCAATAAAGGCAAAAAAGAAAGTACACAATTTGTTCTTGGAGTAAAATAACAAACGGTCAAAAGAACCAACCTCGTATCCATCTGTAGGCATCGATTTTCAATAACCAACAGGAAACGATGCACGTGCATGATCACGCACTTATTGTCCCAAGAATCACAGTATAAACTTGGGAGTTGTAATATCTTGTTCCATGCACGTTATAATACGAGGTTCTGCACAAGAAAAACGTGTAGAGCATTTAGATGTTGGCTTTGATAATGCAGACTTATTATACATGCTTCTAAAAGTCAGAAATATTTGTAATTGCTTTATGCAGTGATCAGTGTGAATAGGATCCATTTTTGTGATTTTCCATCACCTTTTTAAACTTGCCATTTACTTTATATAAAACCAAATTCAACTATTTACATTTTTTCACTCATAATATGACATTTTGAAAAACATTATTATGGTCTACCTTCAGTATAAAATAAGACTAATTATAATGTTATGATCAGCAAAAGATGTATTAAAACTTTCTTCCAAATACATCCTCTTTAATGTTTCAAAAAAAAAAAAAAAATTGCTAAGTCACTAACAAATGTGGTTCTATGTGTTTTATTTTCTCACAATAAATGGATGAGATGATAAATATGAGATTATAACTGTCATAATAATTTTTTTGGAATACCATAAAATTACCATATTTGTTGGGTGCCCACTTGTAACGTCCAGCACAGAAAATGTTATGACATTCAACAGCTTAAAAAAACTGGATAAAGATGATGTATATATCTATACCACAACAGACTGGAGTTTTTACTTCACATTCACTCTAGAATGAAGCTCAGTTTGCAAACCAGAGTAAGAAGTCTTCAAGTGCACACCTTCCAGTAACACTTTGCTATAAAATTCTTTTATCCCTTGGGCACTGTTGAAGTACATCCTTGCCAAAATACACAGCTTACTTTTATCGTGCCATGATTTGGGCCACATCTAAAAAAAAAAGGTGTATATTGGTATTATTGATAGCATTGTTTTCCCATGTGTTTAGCAGACATGCTAACTTAACACTGTCTTTACTCTGACGACAACAGATTAAAATGTTTTTGATAAAGCCACAATGACAAATTTCACTTTGAAAGGAAATACTACAAACAGAAACCTAGTTATACTTATTACCACTCACTTTCAAATGTTATTTTTTCGGTTATGTTTTTTGTTTTGATGTTTTCTTCCTGGTTGGCAACAAAAACTGTCTGTCCATTCTCCTCTATTTTCCACCCATATTTTGAGATCCATTGATTTGTCTGTGCATCTGGGTGAAAACCAAAAAGGATGCCAGTAATTATGAGGAACAATTAAATACAGAACTAAACATTGGAATAAGCTAAAGAGATGCCATTTTTAAATATAAAAATAGAGCAAATTTTATAATTTAATAGCACCACATGATCTGAAAATTACATGTAAAAATTGAATCATTTGTACAAAGATATAAACCTGCAAGTTTGAGATGATACACATGATGCTTATAATAATGGCAAAATTTTAACTTAAAATTTAACTTAATTAATATTCACCAAGAAAATGTGTTGTGATAGAATTTTTAATGAATGTAAAATATATTGATAAACTATTAAGGGAAAAATAGCTAAAACATAATAAAACCATTTGGATTGAGAACATGTATATTTTGTATCAATAACAAGCTTCATATGCAAATTTTGAAAAATATACATTTGAATGATCAAAAATTAAAACAGGCCTACATGACACTTACCTGGAATCCCTCCCAGTAATTCTGCTAGGTGTTCTTTTTCAATGGTCTGATATGTTATTCCAACAACATGGCAAATAACTGAAAAAAATTTCCAAAAAAATAAAAAAAGGCACAAGTGCCAGGGTTTAGAAAAGAAAATATTATTTCCCTGGGCACATAAGGGAATAACATTTGATTGAGCCAATCATTCTGATCAGTTGAATCCTAAGCAAGGACAAACTTGTGAAAATGAAATAAGAACTTCCTTATTAAGGCAAAACTTCATTAAACCTCTTTCCCTTGCACCAATAAACAATTTCCCTTTCATATACGATATGTATATATTATGGCAGAATTCAAAAACTTACATTTTCTTATGGAATCTTCAAAGCCCTGAATACCAACTATAATGTCAGGATCCTCCTGAAGAACTCTCTATTCAATAATCAAGAAAAGAAAACATGCTATGAAGTGCACATCCACAACAGAAAACTGAAACATACCAAACCCTTTATGCATAAAAATGTTATGTAAGAAAATAAGGGAAAATGAAAAAGGGAAAAAATACATATTTCCGATGAAGCAATATCATACATTCTAAATAATATTTTGCTATAGATCAATCCTTTTAAGAAATTTAAGTTTTAAAATGGAACTTTAAAAACTGAAATGATGACTGCTAAACAATATAAATATGATCAAATAAATTGTTTCCCTACCCAAAACAGCTTGAACTGACAAGATTCTAACAGGTCTGCTAATTCAATAATCTTTGTCAAAGGCTTTTCCTCTAGCTGAGGCACATCAAGGAATATAATGTTCCAAAAAATATAAGTAAACAAATGAAAGCAACCATTAAGCAAAAAATCTAGATTTGTGTGATTGCCAATAACCGTTTACAAGTTCAATACATGAAGCAATTTATGAAAATAGTTTCATTGGATCTCAGACTTTCTGAATATCAATCAATTTAATATCAACAAAGCATGCAATATTCTTTATACATGCATCATAGTCATCATGTCATTATTTTATAAAGAATGAAGTAAACATTTTTGTCATAACTAACAAATAATACAAATGTCATTATAAACTATATTAGTCACACAATTTCACTTCAAGGATACTCTTACACCTTCTATGAGACATTTACACAGAGTGAGATCTGTGTGGGGTAGATTGGTCAGAGCTTTTAGGAGAATCTGGGCAGTGACAGTTGTCTGGAAATAATTAGGATTAAACTGGTATCTGAAATTCCAAGAAAACTAAGTATCAGTTCAGCAGGATAGCATATCATAAATTTCTCTTAAAAATTAAAAACACACAGAATCAAAGTGACATACACTACAAACAGCATCTCAACTATTTTAGGTAATCAAATGGCTAAAAAGGGGTCAATATAAAGTTGTGTAGAAAACAACACAATTAAAATAGGCCAAGGAGCCAAATATTCAAAGACCAAATTATGTCATATTTCAAAAGATGCAATTCAAAAAGAAAAAAATTACAGTTTCAGCACTGCTAGGTTGGCCTCTAAATCGTATGCATTTTCCATTGCTTGAACTGCTATGTAACGTTCCAAGGTAGCCAGGTTCTCAGGATTGTACCTGTAATTAAAAATAAATGATAAGCAACTCAATTTATTAACTGTTAAACTTTCTTTCCTTTTCAAGACAGATTTTTTTACTAGATTAATGATCCACAAAACCCAGGATTATTAGAACACAGTGTAGCATAATGATCAATACAGTGTGTCGACCTTTAAGGTGAAAAGTTGGAATCTCTCTAAATACAAATGGAATAAAACTTTGACATACAACTTGATTACGTGATTACAACACAAACATCTGAACAATTTCAGTAATTTTGACACTGAACTCAATAAAAAATAGTAAGTTTCTATAATGTAATTTGGTCATTATCACTGACATTGGCTTTGGAATTGCCACAATTAGTGTCCATATTGTGAGATGGGAGACAGTTAAATTCGATTATATAACGGCAAGTGCAGGCCATGGCCAATCTTAAAGACACAGCTATGTACATTCTCACTACTTTATTAAATATGGACGCTAAGTTAACTGTATTTACCTGTCAATCCCCTTCAAAAGTTCTGCAACATGTGCCCGCATTGCTTCCGCCATTTTGTCGGTCACGTGACTTTCATAGCCCCTCACTAACGACATGTCGTGAAAGTGATACTTTGAGTGAGATTATAGTAATATAGATTTTTAATATAAAACTGTCTAGATCATGACAGGTATGGTATTTATAACATCTACTCAACAGCTTTTAAGTATAAATACAGGTACAGCCATGTAAATGCGGTCGTAAAAGCACGTTCTCGCATTTTTTGCATGAGAGTTGCTAATGTTTACGTGATCTTGACGTCACTTAGTTTATAATATGGCGGATTGAGATTGTCAAATCTGCTAGATATTACATGTTTTACGTGACAATTTTTCGAACATGTAAGAACATCACAGCTCTTAAATTTAGCAAGTTTGGGAGGATGTTTCGATAACATTCCAACCACAGCATTGCTGTTGTGCAAACCATCATGGATATCGAGCCTCTTGTCGAGGATTTCCAGGAGCTTCAGCTGGATAGAATCGCCCCTGCAACACAATCAGCTATAAATTTGTTGAAGGTAAAAGCTTCAAGGCTACTTTTAAATACAGTTTTCTTTGCGTTTCATTTAAATGCAAGGAGTAGAAGCAATATATACATGACATTCGATCTCCTTTTTGATAAATTTGTTAGTTACTTTTCACCGAAAAAACTGTATAACTGGCCCTAACCATGACCTCAGAAGTTCGTCTTGAAAAATGGGTTTGTAGGGGCAGAGATGGATATTGTCATTTAGCTGATTACAGCCAATTCAAATTTGGTTTCTGTCTAAGTATACTTATTTGGAAATGCATATGTTACTGGCTGTGGCATTAATCTACAGCAACTGGCACTGTATAATTCATGGCATATAAATTGTTAAAACAAACCTGGGGGCAATGCTCTCCAGAAGCCCATGAGAATCTATTCCCAATTTGATGAGAAGTTACATGTTTTAAAAGTTTCAAATGTTTTATTTATACTTTGGCAAAAATACACAGAACAGAAAAAATTATAAAAGAAATTTGAAGCTCAGATATTTGTTAAAAAGAAATCTTAACAAAAACATTAATACTAGTTTCTTAGCTGATAAAATGCCCCATACAAAGTGTACTTTCTGACAGTATGATTTAGTTTTGCATAGTTAAAATCAGGTAGTGTCTTTAACTCTTAATTAAAACTGTTGTAGAAAATGTCACCATTGATTGGTACCCTGGAATTGTCACGAAAGTTAGATAATAAAGTCAGTGGATTGAATTAGTGAATTGTTGTTTCAACATCAACCTTTTTATTGATTTCAGTAACAGAGAGAAATGCATTATTTTGTTACATTTTCAGATTTCCGTTATATCCTTATAAAAGTTAAAAATTCAGAATAAATTCCTTGATAGATATAGCTTCTTACTGTTGTTTACGATCATTCCAGACTGAAGAAGAGCTTGAAAAACTCACTGTAGATGAAAAGCTCAATGATATTGAAAGAGCAGTGTATCTTCTAAGGTAAGCATTTTAAAACATTTTAAGAGCTACATGTGGATTTAAATGTTTGAAAAGGCTACATTTGATGGAGTTTTTATTTACCTTCTGTTTTATTACTATTTTTTTTTACAGAAATGCAAATATTTGTGATATTTTTCAAGCACTAGTAAGACTCTTTTATGATTACATAGGATCTTAGTTTTTTAAAAACATACAAGGTAGTTGTTAGTTTAATTGAAACAAATTTAAATAAATGTTCTGCAGTCATGAATACAAATAAAGTTTTAAGTGCAAGAAAGTCTGCATGCAGAAGAGTGTGACACTTAGGCTCTATTCCCATAGATTTTAGATCGATCTATCCCCGCGGGGAGTCTCACTAGATTACTTTCAGATAATCCGACTTAAATGTCCGTCCCGCCTACTACAAGCTGTAAGGGGGTAATTAACTTATGTGTCTGCCCGGCTGACAGCTATTTAGCTTGAACCCCCAGGGAGTTAGGTCAATCTAAAGTAGGTCAATCTAATCTCTGGAAATGGGGTGTTAGCAATTCATAATACCAACCGTGGTTTCAGATTTGAAGCAAAAAGTTATCTGTGATGAGGCCTTCTTTATTTTCAAAAAAAAAAAAAAAATAATAATAATAAAATAATAATAATAAATAAAAATAATAATAAATAAATAAGGGCAAAGGGCAGCAATCTCCTTTTATCGCCCTTATTAATTCTTGTTCCTTGATGTCAGTTTTACCTTATTTTTTTTCTACTGAAAACACATCCAAATTAGTTTTCCAGATTGAAAAAAAATTCTCTTGTTTCTACCAACCCCTTTTTTTACCAACCAATAAAATTAAGATATATCAAATATGACATATTTAAATCACAATATGTCTGTGAAAAACACAACTTATTTTATGTTGAAACAGTTTTCTCCTAATAGCCACAGAGATATATGGCCTTTGAGGGTTGCTTTTGACATCCTTTAGTATAAATAAACAAATGATGTTAAATCTTATCATCTGGCTAGCTGACAAAGGTTTCTATTTCACATGCGTGGTACTCTTAGTTTGTGCTTTTTAAAAACTCATTGTAAGGGATAGTAGTAAACATACTTACCAATATCTGAATCCCTTGTACAAATACACATTGTATTTTCAAGGTTGAGTGCCTTGTATGGTTGGGTCCTTATGATAGTGATATGTTTATTTATAAAAACTTTACTTAACACTGACAAAAAATTATTTTGACAATTGTCAGTCGCATAACTAATGCAATATGAATTTACCCTTGAAAAATTCATCAGTTGATTTTTTTCTCAGTTCACACCTTAAAACTTCCATGTTATCAAGTTTAAAAAGAAATGATTGTGTCAACAGAGAGAAATAGATATGCCTTCGGGCTTAAGTAAATTGTTTTTAAGGAATTTTTTATGTGACAGCTCTGTTATTGTTTTGCGCTTTTCTCCAAGTGGAAAACCACTTTCATTTGTCATTTAAAATCTTTATCAGTTTAGGAAAGTCGAAGTTTACCTGCAAAAAAGTAGTTTGACAAGTTTAGCTATTAGATTATCAGGAGCACTGTATTTGTTTTTCATGTGTCCCAAAACTTGTACATTCACTTTTTTTATAAATGTATTACATGTACTTCTAAACCCCTTCTTGCTCTAAAGATGACTAATTGTCCCTCAGGTTTTATAAAGAATATACTATGAAGGTGCTTTGACTTAGAGTGCTTTGTCTAAAAGCTTCTGAACTGATGCCTTTATCAGTTTGAAATGTAAAGAGCTGTGAAATATTTGAATAGTCTTATGCTAAGAATAGTAGAAGACAATATGTTAATACTTATCGTGATATGGTATCTTAGATGGAATAACAACATAAAAATGTGTGACATTTAACATTGGTCTGAAACTAATAAAAGGCTTGAAGTGTAATCTTATGATATCCCAATAGAGAGATAAAATTTAAGTAAAGGTACCTATTGCTTCAATAAGTTGTTCTAGACACAAAGAAATGTAGGCAGTTCATTGGATTTGTTTTTCAAACAGAATATAATAGCAGTTGATATGAAGTTTTAAAAAAGCAGTACAAGTTTTCAATATTATATCTGACATGAGGTGTAGAAAACGTACATTTTCAAAATGTCTCTTGGTGTTTTCCATCAACGAATCAATCCTTGTTTAGGCATTTGGAATATTCACCTGACACTTCACCTTAGGTCAAACAAGGCAATTGTTTTGTCCGTCTTGACAATTGTCCGTGTCCTCAACTCAAACCTTGTCCTGAGACATTCTGATAAAAAAGGCACTGAGTTTTTGTATTCTCTTGCAAATAAAGCAGTGTCTCTATAAACGCCTGAAAAAAGAAGTCTTAATTTAAGCTTTTTATTAATAATTTTTTGATTGGTGTCATTAGGGAAATAGTTTTAAGCGGTTTTTAGATTTTTGTAATGCATTTAGGTCATGATGTTTTTGAACAAAGAAAGACTTTTTGTATTTACTTGCACTACCCCTTCCCTGTATATGTTTCACATAGGGTCAGGAATTGTCAGTCAGAATTTACAACACTATACAAAACAGATGTATGTTTATTTTATCAACTCCCGTTGAAAGGGCTAAGGTAGGGGCTTTGAAATGGAGAGGGAACATAACATTGCCAATTGCCAGCCAACAAAAGCCATGGCTTCGTGCTGCAATGCTTCTTTGAGGTTAGCAACGCGAGGCATTGTTCACAAGAACGAGGTCACCAACAGAGGCCATATTCTTATACAATATAGAATAATACATTGACTTTGAAATGGGTTGTATTTGGTAGAAAGTACCCAGCTGGGTGGCTGTGTTTTCTTTCAAGGCATTTTCTTGAGACATGGCTTGCCATGCCTAGCTAGACATATTTTTCAGCTGTAGGCATAGGCATTATAAATGCTCCATTCTGGTTTGAGCTAAATAGTTGAAAATTTATCCAAGATGGAAACTAGCTCTCATGAACTACAACCCTCCTCCCCACCAATAAATATCAGATATATATGAATAAATGTTTTAACCACATTATTTTCTGTTAACTGACATTAGCAGGTATTGTCCGTGGTAAATTTGACACTAGTTGTAGGGGGCTTGACTTTTGCCAAGCAGGACATGTAAGCTGAAGTGTAAATTTACCTAATCCCACACTGGACATCAAATGCCCATTTAGAAAAGCCTTTCTGCAAATATTTTTTTGTTTGTGGGACTTTATTGTTAGGAGTGGCTAACAACTAAGAGTTTTCTCCTGTGGGTTGGATTACAGTGTTAACAATATTTGAAAACCAGACATACAGTTTCACTGTGGCTAATGTAAACAGAAATTAATGTTAGTCACTTTTCATGCAAATTTCAGTTTGTAGAATTGATATACAATATATCATTTTGTGAGATATTAGTGACATGCAGTGATAGATTGGTAGAAGAATAAACAAGGTAAAAAGTTCTTGTGGACATATTCATCAATGAAGTGTGTGCACATAAAAAGGTAGCTTTCAGTTAAAGCAGTTCTAATGTTGAATGAGCTATTATGTGTGAACTTTTGCAGCCCATGGAAAGTAATACAGGCCCAGCCCAAACTGATCCTGACATTTTAAAGAGAAAATGAGATCAAATGAGTGCTGGTCATTTCAATATCTTCATTAGGACTAAAGTTTACATTTGCTTATGTTTGCGAATTTTATTCTTAAGACAAGTTTTACCTAATTTTTCTCAGATTCTTTGTATTCCTGGGCTCTGTAACTTGGAAGCATCGCGAATTACGACCAAGGGCAAGTGTATTTATTCCATAACTCGAGATTTACTTGCCCCATATATTAGCCTCGAAATGAAAAGTGATATAGCAATTCGCAAGCCAATGCTTTCGAGTTAAGGAGCCCTGCACAAACAATGCATACTTCCTGGCTTATGTAAGATGTAACTCACTCATGCAACATTTATTTTGAATATTATGAAATTTTGTTTGAATCTTACATATCTGTATATATGCTTTTTTCTTTGGTAAAAATTCATTGGTCCATTTTAAATTGAATGAACCAGTTTCTGTTGGAGACTTCTTTAGTTACATATTTCAACACCAGAGGTCAGGACTGACAAGCATAAGGTGAAATCCTGTTTGAAATTTGATATCACCTATCTCTCTGCAGATTGTATTGAAGTGAAATTTTGACATTTCATATAACTTGTAAGCATTGAAGATTTTTTAAGTGCACTGTAGGAATGTTTATAAAAAGCTCAGGCAATAAAAAGAAGTTAGCTATCCTAAAAAGTTCACCTTTGGTAATGTTATGTCTCTTTATTATTGATAATTTGTGAAGCTGATGATTGTCTTTGATGAATGAAAAGAGAAAGTTAATCTCTTAAAATAAACTTGAAAGAAATAAAAAAGAATAAAAATGAAAAAAAAAGGCAAGAAAAAATAGCAATCTTGGAACCGGGATGCCTGATGTAGAGGCTCCTTGCCCTATACAATTTCTTGTTTTGAATGTTTAAGATATTTTTTTTCCTTGCTTTTCTTCATGAGTTGTTTTGTAATGTAAAAAAGAAACTGATGGAAAATAAGAAATTTCTCTTTGGACATTTTTGATAACTGAAACATTCATGAAAATGGATTTTCTGCATATTTTTGGATTCTAATTACATAGTCTAATTGTAAGCCAATGATGAAGCTTTATCTATCAAAACAGCAAAGTAATAATCAATAAGATAAATATAAAAAAGCAAATTTCTTCTTAGTCAGATCTGTAAAGATAAAATAGGAAAGTTGTGTGGAAGTTCAACACAGCAGGGCATATTGTGCCTGTGCTAGAGGCTCCCATCTCCAACTCATATCCAATTACAGACTGGTGGGAGAGTTCATGGAAAGTAGGTTGATGACTGAGAGCCGATTGGCTGGCTGCCAGGCAGAGAACACACATGAGCTTCACAACCTCAGTACATGTCACTGAAAACACCAGCCTGGAATGTGACACTGGGCTAGCGTCACTGGAAAGAATAGATTCCATGTAGGAATGTCAGGATTTTAGACCTTGAGAAATAGGAGAGAGATCAGTGGAGGAGTCGGGGGCACAAAGAGCAAGGGTTGGATACTGTATATAGTGTGTACGCGATTAGGGAAGTGGGGTTTGTTAAAAGGGAGAAATCATCATCATCTTGTTTGGAAACCTCATGGCTCATGTGAATTATTATTATTGGAATATCCCAGACACAATGTATTCACAATGGAAGAGCCAGCTATTGTAGATTTACTGCCCAGTGAGATGAGGATTATTCAACATGAGTTGGAGTTCCAGAATAACTTGGACATTCTGGAGCACCGGCCGGCATGGACTCCTATGGCAGATCCAGACCTTGACTTGGACATAGTAGCCGAGTAAGTGAGTTCATGGGGAGAAAGGAAAGGTTTAGGCTCTATAAAATAAATAATATCACATGGGTGCCAGGGTTTTGATGTTTTTCATCTTGTTAGGTTGTTAACACAGTTTGGGCTTTAGTTTGTGATTTTATGTGAAGGGAAACAATTTACATGATCAGTTTACCAGGCAAGGCCAGTCACTCACTCATAAAGGTATGACTTGATTTTACAACTTTAAAATGGATTTTTTTTCCTAAAATTATATTCTAGTTTCCATTTTGATCAATGTTGCAAAGTTAGGAATGATCAACTAAACAACATGGATGGAACGAAGGAACATAGTATAAATTATGAATCAATACATCATATCCTTTCCATACAAAAGTAGAGCCCTGCAAATGTCATTATTATCGAGTTTCTCTATCACAGACTATAGCTGGGTCATCTGTTGATCACCTACAGAACTGTTGATTTTAAGAGTAGTATTTTGCAGTGTGTGATTTGAGTCATTCTGTGGTTTTTTTCTCAGGTCATGACTGTGAACAGTACCTGAATTCATTCATGAGTTTGGTTCAAACATCAGTTGAATAATGTGTCTTTGTTGGTGTCACATTGATAGATGAGAAGATTTGACCTGTGTGTGACTATTAGAACAGGACTGAGACTGCTCGGTATCAAAAGTGAGACTGTTTTCACCTTGCATGTCCCAAGACAGCTCACTTTCTCTTTTTTAAAAATGAAAAAAAAAAGACAAGTCATTTGCAACTACTGTGTGAGAAGGAAAAAAAAAGTTAGAGAAACCACATGTGTTTCCTGTCACACCTTAAAGTCAGCACAAAGTTCTTGACTGTTTTAGTCACCATGCATGTGTTGTAGAGATGTTTGGGTGATGTGAAAACCCCTCGTTACCAGTGTGGTTTGAAATTTGTGGTTAAGACCTGTGGACTTTGGTTTTGTAAACATGTATAGATGCAGATTAGAAAAATACATTAATGTCACGCTTGATGTTATTTTCTAGCTAGTTTTTCTCATACAGAAAAAACAATCAGACTGTGTTGCCTTTCTTTTATCTTTCCACAAGAAAGGTTATTTGCATAATGTCAAAATTAGAATACTTTCACGAAAGTAGCAGCTGTATTTAGGCAAAAGATGAGAACAAGACATGATTTCAGTTTTTTTTTTTTTTAAACAAAAGAGCCAGGACATAACAAAGAATATATATATATTTATTTGCTAGAAGGGAAGAAAAACCAGCAACTTGGCAATTGAGACTGGAGTAGTTAATTAAAAGTCCATATTAATTTTTACTCAACCTCCCAGTGTGCAATGAGGCTGTTAATTGTTGGTTGTCGCTCTCTTTCCACTTTCATTTCTCATTTCTTATGGGTATTCAGTATGGAGATGATAGTGTACTGCTAATAATGCCCCATCATTTCTGTGGTCTTTAGATCTTAGATAATCTTTTCATATGGGTATTTGGCTTGGTAGCAAAATAATGTACTGGCTGTATGTCCTCCTTTGTTCTTAATTAAAATGATAATGACAAATCACACATTTTAATTGCATATGGTCTGATTCAGTGTTTTGCCCTCTCTGGGGAAGGCCTTCAGACAGTGTAATCTCAGTGGCAAAAAAGGCACTGAGCAGAGGAGAAAAGTCACAGCATTTGAATCAAATGTGATCATAGAAGTGTTGTGAATATAATTTTTTTTAAAGTTCATTGAAACTGATCTTTCTATATGTTTTATTAGGATCAGTCTGAAATTTAATTTTGAGGTAGCTTTAAAACTGAACACAGAAACCATGAAGGTTATTTGCTGCTGGATGTTATATTTGATTTGATTTTTCATTTGACTAAACAAGAAGAGTGCTCCAAGATGGGGCTTGCCTGACTTGGTCAGTTCTCTGGATATCACCATGAATTTGGTTACCAGCCGAGCTGCTGTCTTTGGAAATAAAAATATGAGAGAAATGTCAAGATGAAAAAAATATACTCCAGTAATTCTACTAGAGGCTATCCGAAGATAATTTGAATGGCAGATAATAGATGAGGTGCACCTGTGCAGTTATGGGGGAATTGCTGTATATTAGAAGCTGTTAAGGTAGCAATTTTGCACCTGGGAGAAATTTCCACTCACTTAATGACTCCGGGCTAAAAAATAATATTTGTTGTTGTGATATACTTGTTAAAATTTGTAGTGTTAAAATAATGAGATTGTACTTTTTACCCTTCTTTGTTATCTAGACCGGGTGTTCACCTTTGAACTCTACGGACCTTTTTTTTGGTCCCAGCTGTATAAAGTAAAGAAATTTAAGTTATATCTTTTTTATACTTTGTGGACTTGTGACTTGGAAAAAGGGCATCTGTTTTGATAACAGTGCGCCAAGGATCCTCAGAAAGTTCTGTTTACAGAAACCTTGTGTAGGAAGTTCTATAGCCACAAGTTGGCAGCATTAAAAGCTGAGCAGGAATTCCTGTACTATTATATAACATACATTAGAATTGATGGTCTTGCAGTAATCAGAAACAGGTGGTAGTCTTGCACACCTGAGAAGTAAAAGTGAACTAATAATTTCCATATCATGTTAATGATTGATGTAATAGATAGCAGACAGTTTAACACTGCTTTGCTATAGTAATGAGATCCATTATTATACTTTGGCTATTCACTTTTCTATTTTTTTTTTTATTTTCAAAGAAATAAAAAAAATCAAGCTTGGGTAGGGCTTGAAAATGATGTTGAGTAGGGGTGGGGAGATTAAATTAATTCTACATACTAGACTGCAGGAAGTCAATGACATAAAGTGGTACATACTGCTCAATAATCAGAATTAATTTTGGTGAATAAAGAATAATGTGTCTTCAATAATTGCCATTGATTTGGTTAAATGAAATGTTGGCAGATAAGTTTTTGTCATTGAGAAGTATAAATTATATGTTTGTCAATCTTTAGAAATTAAAAGATAACAAATTGCAGCACTTTGTTGTGCTTAGACAAGTAGAGGCTATTAATGAAAAGAAATATCAAAGAAATTTGACCAGCCCAATCAAATTCCAAAATATATTGTTTCTAAAATAATACGTAAAAAGAAATTGCTTTGTTCAGTGTCTAGAATGGATTAAAATGGTGCAGTGAAAATTGTTCTTCAAGAGAAACATAATGAAAATCCAGTGTGATGGAAAATTAACCCACCAACAATTTATCTACTTTATCTTTAAAAAGTAATTTGGCATAGAAGTTCAGTTAATTTGCTAAAACTGCAATTATACTCAGCCGAGTCTAGGAATTATTTCACTAATACCCTGTCTATACAGGAAACAAAGCCTGTAGCATTAAAAAGTGAATGTTTTGTGTCATACTTGTTAGGTGATGCATGAATTCATTGATGTCAGTATTATTTGATATCCAAGGTTGGTTTATAATATCATTATGCATTACCAAACCAGTCACTTGTAAAAGAAGAAGCAGATGCTTTCATTTGTAAAATAAGTGATGTTGAACCATGGGACTCAAAATGAAATTAGTCAAGAGAAAAAAGAAGAGGTGTTTTAATGCACATGACAGCAGCCTGGAGTAATCTCCATGGCGATGAAGCCGATGCATTATCTAGAACATATGGCTGGGAATTTATAGGGTTAGACTATCAATTCAATTTCAACAGCAGTCCTTTTCCATTGATGATTAAGCCTTGTTCAGATCAATTGGTTAGAAATTCATCCTTTTATTACCTAATCTTTTACGACTAAAAGAAGGTATTATGGACTGTTATGGCAGAACATACTTGCTTCATTTACTATATTCTTGAAGTGAAGAGTATGGCTGTGAAGTTAGGTGTGGGCATTGATTCTTAATCATAACTGAAATGCATTACTCGGTCATTAAGTACCATTAGTCAGCATAATATCAATTTCTATGGAAATTTAAGTTGAATATTTCTGTTGGTGTTACTGGACCTGTTGGGAAAAAAGACCACACCAGTCATTAGTACTAATTCACCTTATGAAAATAAAAGGAAAAAAACTAAAAAAATTATATAAGATATTTGCAACTATATATGTTTCATGTCATTAAGGCATACAGGTTTCTCTCGCAGGTATTGTCTGTTGAATCCAGGTTGGTAGTGGATGGTTTGAGAAAAAAATTTAAAAAACTAAAAACAATTTTTTCAACTTCTCTAATGGTGCAAAGGTGATCAGAAAGTCCTAACATTATTTTGAAGATTTGTATTAGATTTGTATGATACACATTTGTCATGTGCATTTATTTATTGCTTTATTAGATTCTTTTGAAATCTAAAAAAAAAAGACATAAGCATGAAACATTTAATAATGTACTTTATTTTCTGTAATTCTAAACTATAAATTTTCTTTAACAGTTGTACTTCAAACACATTTCTTCTCTGATTATAATAAATTTGACACACAAAAAAAAAAATTTGTATTTACATGTATGTATACCTGAAAACTGAAAGAAGAAGTTTGCAGTTAAAGATGCTAAAATTGACATTTGTTTCCTCTTTAACTGTTTCAGTTCTGGGCAGGATATCCAAAGGTTAAGTGTGATCAGCAATTTACCCGACCTCCTTCGTGAGCACAATGTGGACTGCATGCGAAGAGTGGTGCCGAAAGTCAAGGTGTGTACACTTGAAATTGAGAGAAAAAAATCTCCTTATGGTTTATTTTCATGCACTCAGTAAGTTGGGTTTTTTGTGCGTCGGTTCTAAAGCCCAGCATGAATGGCACTGATACATGCAAAGAATGTGAGATGAAGCCAGGTAAGTTAGTGTCACAGACAATGCCATATGGCACCTTGTTACCTCACCAGTGACAAATGAAGGTAGGTTTTGCTCACTTTGCCTCTGAATTTTCATCAGTTGTTGGGCAGATTCTCTTGTAGTGTTACACATGCTCTGATGTATTTAGATACAAATTTTTGGAAGTAAAAAAGATTGCAGGTGCTGTTATGCATTGTCATAAACTGGTGTCTTATTGTTATCCAGAACTTTATAACACACAGTTACATGCTTATATGGATAGAACCCGGAGGTTGCTTTTTTTTCCCCTATACTTTGAGCAAGATTTTTTTAGTAAAGTATATGTCTTACGTGCAAGATTTATGTGGCATGCTTCACTAAGAGAATGGTTGCCCTCTGCTTTATGAAAGCATCCATGGAAAATATGAGACCTTTGAAGAGGTTAGCCAGCCTAACATTCTGGATGCAGGCAGAGAAGAAGGCTAGGTCTTGTGGCCATTTTCCCATCAGGCTTTGACGTCAGATGACGTAGTGCTCAGTGTGTGTAAATCTCCCGCACACCGACAATGCAGGAGAGATTAATAACAAAGATGTGAAGTTGGTTTGCTTAAAGCAACACTGGCAGGGATTTGTTCCCATGAATGCTTTCAACTGTGTTAGGGTGAACTGAGGCTAGAGGAATAAAAAAAAATCTGTTTAACAATTTGCCATCCCTCCAAGTTTGTCTCTTGCATGACAGTTTCTATTTTAATTTTAATTGCTGTTTCTTGCTGATAGAGATGTTGCGTGTCAGTTTTAATATTTATCTTCAGCAACATTGAATATAATACTTGGCCTCACAGGTAATGTGAATTAGGAAGAAAATAAGTAATCATTGCACAGGGAAGTGAACTACATGAACCTGAAGTAAAAGTCATACAGTTTAATAAATGTCAAAATTCAGAAATGAAACCCTTGAAGTATGATAATGTTTCCTTGCCTCTGAAGGACTTGATCTTGGGCGTAACCAAGTGAAGGAGAATAGAACTGACAATCTGTCAACTACACTAAACAAACATTCAGCCCATTTATCAGAAGAATGTGTCAAATTTGGATTGTAAATCCAATAACATACAGCTTGAGAATTTGATAATGACTGCTTTGGTGTTTTTTGTGTGAGCAATATGTAATTTCTTTTCCCAAAGCATTCTTTCTCTTTTACCCTTGGAATAGAACAAGAATCTTCAAGCACTTCAAAAACATAATGAATGCTGGAACAAAGATAAAAATATATGCAGCTGTGTTTTTTTAAATACCCCTTAAACTTATGCTGTTTGTTCAGGATAAACTCCACTGTATAACATGCTGGTAAGGGTTGTTTGGGTTATCTACTGATCAACCCCATTGTTCATACTTTTGGTGTTTCTTTATAAATAGACAGACCGATTTTAAACCAACACAGTTGGAAGTGATTTGGGACTACAGTGCGTGGTGTACAGGTGTGGAACTTTATCCTTTAACTTTATCCAGACTAACGTTATGTTTTACCAGAAGAAGGTTATGTACCAAGTGTTTGTAATATTGTTGTGCTTTGAAGTTTGGATGTTGAAATTTAAGAAATGTGTGGTATCCTGTGTACTATAAAGTCGTAGGAAGAAGCATTTGATATTGTGCTTCACAGGTTAAATTGTGTGGCCCTGCGGTTTACCAATCTGTGGTAGAGGTAAGGTCTATATATTTTATTACCTAGATATATAAAAGAGACGGGTGATACTTGACAACTGTTACATTTTTTTCAGAGGCCACTTTGAAAATACTTTTTAAAAGCATCTTAGAACTTTGAAGCATATTTACATTTTCAAAACCAAATGTTTAATTTTTTTTTT